ACATGTGACTTCACAGTCTCTCTCTCACCCTCTGCTCTCTGATGTCCAAGGTTCTCCTCCACATTAGTGCTTTGTGCTTTTTGGTTCACTGTCTTCCTAGTGCCCACACTTTGAGTCAGATGCAGGCAGTGGGTAATGGTGGGGAGCTAATGCCAGGGGTTCCTCAGGAGCAGGAGTTTGGGGAGCGCAGAGGCACATTTCCCAGGAATGTCGTGAGGCCTCAGCACTCAGATCACCCACGTTTCCTGACATTCAACCTAAGCAGCAGCCTCTACCTGGACTTGATGTTAAAACCAGGAGGCTCAATACCAGACTTCCCACCTGGGCTGTCAGCGGGTGGCCGAGCCTGGGGAGGGGCCGCCACCTAATTAGAAGTTTCATTCAAGTACCAGTGTTGACTTTCTCGGGTCACATCTGGGCCATTTCCTACAGCAGAACTGCGTTGGCAGTTTTCAGCCTACGTGGTTTTTTATACTCTGAACCTCTTGTGTGTTTGGGCTTTAGGCCAGGCAGATGAGCAGGGAGTGGTCAAGAAGAGGGGATCCTGCCCCCTGGCCTCAGGAGGAGGCTGGTTCCAGGTGTGTGACCCCAGATCAGACAGGCAGCATCCTGCAGGCACCACACGATTCCTGCCATGGTTTCCTCCCAGCTGACAATGCCCTGACCTTACCGCCAACCCAGGAGGAGGTGGGTGCTGGCAGAAACTGGACGCAGCAGAAAGCTGGAAGCATCTGCTTGAGAGGTCAAGAGGGTGGAGCATACAGAAAATCCAGGGAACCTTCTTTATGTGGGGACCCAGACCAAGGCACCATGGTCAGTCTTCTTCCAGGGATGGCGTGGCAGGTCAGTTCCATTGCTTCCTGTGCCCTTTTAAACAAAGTGAGGGCACCATCTCTACCTCTGAAACTTCCTTCAGGTCCTTAAACGCCGTCTCCTGTAGCCTGAGCACACTGCCCCTGCCCCATCCTCAGTTTCCCCATCATTCCCTAAGGGAGGCTCACAGTGTATCTCTGGAGGGTGACAGAAGGGGCAGGCTCCTCAGCTGAAGGTACAGGAACAGGATAGCAGTTCATTCGTGGAATTGATAAATTGGTTACTAAATTCAAAACTTCATGAAAATCTACCATACCTACTCATTAATATGCAGGAGAAGCTATTCCTGACCCCAAACCACAACTAACTCGACCTGAGTCGCTCACGTCCCACCTTGGGAGGGGCTGATGTGGTTGCTGACAGCACACAAAGAAAGCCATGGGAGTTAGATCCCCTTCAGGACATTTCTACTTCACTGTTGTAGCCCAGTGACGTGTCTCACTCCATTCAGGCTTGTTTACTTCTCCCTCTGCCCATCAGGGTGATCTCTGCTCCCATTTCATATGACGCCCTGGCATGGGTATTGGCAGGAGATAAAGGGTGGCCCATGTTCCAGATGTTTTCCCACCTGATCACATCCCATCTGTGGTAGCCCCCAGTGGTCCCTTCTGGTCGTGTGGCTCCTCCCACACTGGACAGGGCTGGTCTCTGTCCAGTAGGATGAGGCAGATGCGATGGTGTCTCACTTTCAAGATATAGACAACACTGTAGCTTCCAACGGGGGTGCCCTCTCTCAGGTCACTCACTCTGACGCAAGCCAGCTGCCATGTCATAAAGAGCCCTGTGGCAAGGCCCACGTGGCAGTGAACTGAAGCCTCCTGCCGACAGTCACATGAGTGAGCTTAGAAGTGGGTGCCCAGCCCCAGTCGAGCCTTCAGATGGTGCAGCCCCAGCTGCCAGCTTGACTGCAACTTACAAGAGACCAACTGTGAGCCAGAACCAGCCCCATCCCGGCCATGCTGACATGCTTCCAGGGTCCTGACCACAGGAATGTGTGACATACTAAATGCTTGCTGTTTTAGCTGCTAGGTTTGCAGATACTTTGTTACAAACAGTAGATAACTGATACACCATCCTGTCCCTCATGCAAACAGCTGCTTAGCAGAGTCAGCCCAGAAACACCGAACAGGGCTGAGGGCACCCAGCCCTGGCTCAAGCACTGAGAGAACCCCCCCCCCTTTCTATTACTAACTTCAGTGTTAGTGTCCTCAGGTCAGGGTGGGTGAGGAGGATGGCCGGTCACCCTCTCTGGGATCTGGGTACACCTTCCTCAAACCCTTTCCTCTGGGTTTGGGAAAGGTCTACAGGAGCTACTTGAGGAGCATTTGCAGCCTGGAAAGAATGTGAGCTGTCTGGATGGCACGATCCACTCAGACACCCGCTGTTGCCCTCACCCCCTCGGTCCCATGGACCTGAACGTCCCACCTCCTGGGTGCGCATCCTGCCTCAGTTTCCCTAGGTGTTTCACATTTCACTGAGGCTGGAGCGGGCACACACAAAGGCAGAGTGGTTTACTCAGAGCCAACTAGCTTGATCAGACTGATTTTAAAAAAGAAAAAACCTTTATCTGGCTTATTCCCCTTGTACATTTTCAAGATGTAGACACCTTGGAGTCTTAAACTTAGACACCGAGGAGACAGATGTTTGCTTGGCTCCAGTGGTTGATGTTTCCTAAATCGGTGCCTGCACTGTGTCGAAAACTAAATACAGGAGTGTGTGACCGCAGGATGAAGTTCTGGGCTCTAGAAAGTGGGAGTTGAAACCAAAGGAGCTTAGAGTGCAGAGTCTGCTTTGTAGAGGAAACTAACCCTGTGCTGTTCCCTGTCCCCTGGAGGAAAGACCACTTATGCTCTGCACAGCCCACAGCTTGCACAGCCCACGGCTGCCACAGCCACGGCCACGGAAACTGCAGGGGTGGGGTAGGGGGCTGCTCACATTCCTAACCCCCTGGAGTAGTTAGTGAGAAGGCAGCCCTCTGTCTTGACCCCCTTATTCTGCATTGAAGAGTTGTGGTTCTCTCTCTCTCTCTCTCTGAGGTCCTGGTGCTTTAATGGAAGCTTTCCTTAGCAGTCTGTGGAGGTTGGGAAAAGGACACCTTCTTTCTTTCTAGAAGGGTCATCAGGCTACAGGCTTATCACGAGGGGGTGCAGGCTCTCTCACTTCTCACCCAAAGAGACTTGGCTGGGGCTCTTTATCCATTCTCTATAAGAGCAGAATCAGAGAAAGCCCAAACTCTAAGTGCAGCTCGTGAAGGCTGCAGGCAAACTCCACCCTCTTTAGCCAAACTCAGGAGGGAACCATATAGCAATTCAGAGTTAAGTTAGCTCCGGCTGCCTTCAGCCTCGGGATAGACCTGCTGGGATGACATCGCTTTCCCAGCCAGGCTCCGTATCAGACATGGGTGAAAATACCAGGCCCTGTGCTCAGAAGCCAGGCCACGGCCTCACCTGCTCGTGCCACAGGTCATAACAAAGGGGTGCTCAGCTCCATGGATAGTCGTGGCCCTGTCGATCCTGCACCGATTGCTTGTTGCAATGGTCTTCAGAGACCCGCCTCTGAGGGCACAAAGCAGCATGTCATCTGTCATTCCCAGCTTGCTTCCTGTGTCTTTGTCATCTCCCCCAGACTGAGTGCTTTGAGACAGGCAGTCCAAGGATATATTCATGTTCACTGCGCACCTACTATGTGCCAGGTTCTGTGGTATTTAACCATAACACATCCCTCGGGGAAATCATGTATTATCTGATTTAAAAAAATTTTTTTTCGGTGGAAATTGTGGGCCATAGATTTTTTTTTTTTT